CTTCATTTAAATGATTTCATCAGCTTTTGAAAGGAAATTTTTATTTCTTGAACCTCTTTGAATTTGTTTCATGCACTCTACTTGTTTTCTATATTGGCCATTCAAGGTTTCAGTCAGTTTCCCATTGCTCCTGTACTTTTTTTTTTTATCTATGTCTTCTCTGGATATGCTGAGCAACTCCTTTATTAAGGTTGTCATTTCTGTCTTTATGTGAGAAATTATTTCTAATTTGACTTCCTCTATAGCCTCATGGATTTGGGGGTTTTTTTTATTTTTTTTTTTATTTCACTTGCTGTCTTTTCAGAGGTTTCCAGTGTGTTACTTTTAAAGTTCTCTATTTCAATGTCTCCTGTACTTGCTCCTGATGGACTAGATGTTTGAGATTGCACTTTACTTTTCTGTTTTCTCATTTTCACCTTTTGGGCTACTATTTGGTCTTTCAATCCCACTAGTCTCAACTCTCAGTCGTGTGTATCTTAGGGTCCTACTGTGTGGTTGACGTTTGTCCAATTGCTGGGTATCGCAACGAAGAGATGGGCAGTCACCTGTATTCTTCCTGCAGGGCCTGTTGGGTGAGTCCTCTATTCTTCCTAGGCTGATTAGTCTACAGCCTGGGCAACTTAATAAAACCTTATCTCAAAATAAAAAAGGGTTAGGTATATACCTGGGTGGTACAGTGCTTGCTTAGCATTTATGATGTCCTAGGTTCAAGTCTTAGTTCTGCAAACACACACATGGAGGAGCCAGTCACATCTCCTCACATTCACTGCTACTCCCTAGTACAAGTTGCTATTTTTTGAATTATTGTTATAGCTTTTCTTGCTTCTCTACTTGCCCCAGTGCAGCACTATAGTTAGAACAAAGCTTTTAAAACACATCCTACAGCGAGTACAGTGGGGCATTCTTATAATTCCAGGCCTCTGGAAGGTTGAGGCAGTAGGATCACAAGCCAAACCTGGTCTGGACAATTTAGTAACACCCTGTCTCAGTTTTTATTTTTTAAGGGGTTAAGTTGGTACCAGGAATATAGCACAGTCCCAAGGCCCTATGTTAATTCTTACTACTGAAAAAAATCAACAAAATCCCCACATATAACTATATACATGCCTGTTCAAAATCAAAGGGCTCTTCTGTACCTCGAATGAAATCCAAAGTGTCCTCCCCCTTGACTACAAAGCCATGTACAACCTTCCTCCCATCTTTGTGGTCTCATCTGCTTCACTGTTTCTCTCAGAATCTACCCTTAATGATTTCTTTGCTGACTTTTAGCACAGAAAATAAAACCTTGCCTCAGGACCACCGTATTTATGATTCCCTTTTTATGTTACAAGTGGTCTCCAACATCCATATGGATTCCTCACCTTATCCAGAATTTGATTCAAACATCTTCTCATCAGAGCAACTGACTGGCCCTAAAATAACACATTATGTAAAGCAAGTCACCTCCCACACTCTAGTGCCTGTTATTACCTGACATAATCGAAAATTTTATAAATTTTGATTTTCCCCAATTCTAGGATGATAAGTCCAGGAGACCAGGAACCAAACCTCTTTTGTTCCTGATTGTATCCTCAGTGCCTAGAATCCTACCTTGTGCATAAAAGTGCTCAGTAAATATGGTTACATGAGGAGATACAGAGACATCTCCACAAGCACATGATGTCTTTGGACAAATGTGTCAAGGATCCTTTGTCCTCCGCAAATAGCCACCAGCTCAGGGCTTCAAAAATCATCAACACAAACTGGAACAGAAATGTAACATTTTAAAAATCATGAACTGTGTTCCAGGTTCTTTGAAAGTGTGGCCTGTGGAAATGAAGATTTGATACATAGGTTATTCCGTTTTTCTGAACTATTTTAGAGCAAATTGCAGGCAGATTGTCTCATCACTACTAAATACTTCACTGTGTATCAACCCACTGCCCAGGACACTTCTCTACAAATATCAGTATAAGCATTCAAATCAAGAAATCACCCTGATGAAATATACCACCCATGCCACAGGTTTCATTTGAGTTTCTGCCAACTATTTAATTTTTCTCTCTAGGTCCAGAGCCACTCTGAGATCATCTGCGGCATTTCACTCTCATGTCTCTTGAATCTTTCAGCTTGGATCTGTTAGTTCTTCTGTCATTCCTAAGCTTAAGAGCACTACAGAGCATGGTCCTGTCATTGTAGGATACCTCTTGGCTGGGCCCACCTAGTGCATCCCATGTCCAGACCAAGGTGGTATATTAAAGCCTGGAGTGTGACGGAAACGAAGCACGATCTTCCAGGAGCATGCTGTGTCAGCCCACGATTCCGTCTGGAACCAGTGATGTTCACCAGGGGCTCCTTGTCCACTTGATGCCTCCCAAACTTCTCTTCGATAAAACCACCAATTGCCTTTCTATAATCAAGTAAATATTTTCAGAGGATACTTCAAGACTTGGCTAATATCCTGCTTCTATCAAATATTCTCACACATTTCCTGAATCAACTAATGCTGTCAAATGGTGACTATCTCCATCAATCCCAATCAGTGGGCATTTCTAGCATAGGGATGCACTGTACAACTCCTCTACTAATTTTCTTATTTCATAACTTACTTACATTAGTATAGAGCCACCTTTTATTCAGTAGGTTATAGCCAGTTACTATCCCCACTTATTTTGATACCCAAATTGTTCTGGATCTTGGCTAAAGGAATGAGTCCTTCATGGCTGGCTCATGTGTCCTTTTGATGTATTCCCATGATATTTTGAGTACCTCCCTACAGAAAGTTCCAAAATCATTTTATGCGTCACCAGTCCAGCCTAGAATCAGACCTGGTTTCTTTTAATTAGAGGATGGTATTTAGAAAGGAAGATGTTCTGGCCATTTGATGTGTCCTTTACTAGTGGCCTCTGAGTGGACAGAGCTATAGTATTTGTGGTGTATCTATGTACACATGCACATACACAGTTTTTAAAAAGTTATTTCACACTCATTTCTGATCCAGTCCAAGCCTCCAGGTTCTTTATACCTTTCTTTCCATATTTATAAATTCCTCCTCAATCAATACGGTACCTGGCTTCTGTGTTAATTAACATTTTCCTCGTTTGCCCAGGAGCCCCATAACTTGGCAGTCTCCCAGCCATGGAACCATCTTGCAACCTGCCATCTCTTCAGCCCTTCTCTCTTCCAAGAAAGAGAGGGAAAGAGAGGCCACAGGGGTAGTCATGCATCCTTAATGACAGATTCTCTGAGTCTTGTGGCCGGAGAAAAAGTACTGCAAGACAGACAACTGTGGGGGAACTGCTGCCGTTTGCAAAGGCATCTGTGCAGAATCCACCTGGGTTCTGTAGCCACAAGGGTCCTCACACAGATCCCTGGCGATTCAGGAACAAGCAGCCAAGCAGTCTCCAGTGTTGGCTCCTTGGAATTAGACACTATAAAAAGCACTGCTCCAGTTGCCTAGAAGCCTATTTTCTAAGCTGAATAAGGTAGGGAGACATATAAATCCAGCACATCAAATACCATAGAGACAAATTCTTCTAAGTAGCTCTTGTGGCTGCTTCTAATCTGGGTAGAGCTGGGGCTCTCTGCTCTCGCCTAATAGCCACCAGCTGTTTGTACTGCTGCCCAGAAAGAGCAGTCACGCTGGTAGACATGCATTAACATACATATGTGCTCATATTAAAGTCTTGGGGGAAAAGGTGAGCTTTTTGCCCCCATGAATTGAGTCCTGAAAGCAACAGATAGGAAATACAATGTGAGTGATTTGAGAGTCATCATTGCACAAATATGTGCAGATGCTTTATATCTTTGGGATCTCAAAGCAAGGAAACCATTGGTGACAAGGAGTAGCAACTATCCAAGCATTTAATTAGTAATGAGTTATTGTGTGCCACAGTTTTGAAGACACTAGGGGAACTGTATTCTCTGCTGACTGGTGCACAATTGAAGAACATCCTGTAACCCAAACAAACCTCCCTTGCCTGTTGGCGCTGGGAATCCTCTGCTACCAGTTGTGACAACTAGAACAAACACAGCGGAGAAACAGCTCAGCCAACAAATGGAACATGTTTGGATCCAGATAGGAGGAAACAATCCTATTCCGATAGCCTCAGTTACACCTAGGAGCTTGTTAGAAATCGGAGCCCTTCCCAGAATACCCTATACATCAGAAATTCCACTGGTGGATGAAGCCCGGCCCATCGTGCGGAGGTATTTTAGATTTAGGTTGGTGGTACTGGAGATTGAACTCAGGACCTTCTCACTGGACTCTGTCCCCAGCCCTTTTTTAAAATTTTGAGATAGGCCTCACTAAGTAACTAAATCTTCTAAGGTAGGTTGAAATTTGAGATTTTCCTGCCTCAACCTAGGCAGAGTACTGGGATCACAGGTGTGCACCACCAGGCCCAGCGCATCAGTACGAGTTTTAAAACTCAAGTTTTACAGCGGCTATCCTAGATATTTCTAGAGTGATGCTGGAAGGACGCTGAGACCAACCAGCCTGACACTTAACCCCTGGGGCGCGGCTCCGTGTAGTTCTTCCAGCAAACAAAAAGCTTGTTTACACAAGTTATACACATTCGCTATATTTAAGGCGCAGGAAGTCGTTCTGGACTCAGGTCAGAGTCCCTTCCCCTTTTGCCCTCAATGCAAGTCACAGACTGAGGCTCAACTGGAGACCCGGCAGGGGTCGCTGCTGCCCAGGAAGAGCGACTCAAGGAGCGTGGCAAGAGAAACCCAGAAGCTTTGACATCACACTAAGCTCCTCCTTGCACGCACGCATTATACACACACAAACATATACAGCCACGCGCGCACACACTCGGCCCGCGCACTCCTCTCCCGGAGCCGGCCCCTCCCGCGGCAAGTGTGCGTCCCGCAGCCACCGGGCGAGGTCCGCAGCGCAGCACAGCGCAGCGCGCACGACCCCGGCGCGGCGGCGGCGGCGGCGGCGGCGGTCCCCGCGGCTGCACCCGGACCGGCTCGTTCCAGCGCCCGGCGGCGGCGGCGGCGGCTGCGGCCGGGACACCCCCGCCAGCGCCCGGCCCCCCGCGAGCCGAGGGCGCAGGGCTGCCACCCCTATGAACGGAGAAGGCCGGCGCAGCAGCAGGACTCGCGGCAGCTGGACTCCTCCGCAAGCCCGGGGCGCCTCCTCCTTTCCCACCCTCCGTTCGCCCGGGAAGCAAAATGCAGCCGCCGCGCTTTGGTTAGGAGGCGCAGGGGCCCGCGCCATCCGCCGCCCGCCCGGAATCCGATCCCCGCGGCGGCTGCGCGTCCCGGCCGCGGCCCCTGGGACCCGCGAGTGAGCGGCGGCGGCTGCCGGACGAGGAGAGGCGGCCGGCCCAGGTTGGCCGGGACCGGGAGGGGACGGCCGGGGCGAGGCGCGGGGCGCGGGGAGGGGCCCCGGCGGATCGAGATGGCACCGTCTCTCATCCAAGCGTGCCGCAGCCTGGCTCTCTCAACATGGCTGCTTTCCTTTTGTTTCGTGCATCTGCTCTGCCTGGACTTCACCGTGGCCGAGAAGGAGGAATGGTACACCGCCTTCGTGAACATCACCTACGCCGAGCCCGCGCCGGAACCCGGGGCCGGCGGCGCGGAGCTGCGCACCGAGAAGTCCGAGTGCGGGCGCTACGGGGAGCACTCGCCCAAGCAGGACGCCCGCGGGGAGGTGGTCATGGCCAGCGCGGCGCACGATCGTCTGGCCTGCGACCCCAGCACCAAGTTCGCCGCGCCGACCCAGGGCAAGAACTGGATAGCCCTCATCCCCAAGGGCAACTGCACCTACAGGGATAAAATCCGGAACGCGTTTCTGCAGAACGCCTCTGCCGTGGTCATCTTCAACGTGGGCTCCAACACCAACGAGACCATCACCATGCCCCACGCAGGTGAGGGACCCCGGCGGGTGCGGGGCGGCGCGGGGGAGGGGAGCCCCGAGGCTGGAGGCTCCGGGAAGGATCTGGCTGCGCCTGGCTCCCAGCTCTACTCTACAAAGTAGGTGCTGCGCGCGAGACGCGCCTGGGCTCCCTGGACCTGCTAAGTTTTTGCTCCGCTTTACTTCGGGGTGGGGCTGGGGAGGAGGGTGCCACGGGGGAGCGTTTTCACTTCGTGGCGGGGAATGCAGGAGAGCTCCCATCACGCTGCTCAGGGACGAGAGTTCTTTGGGGTGGGCTGACTTCTATGGGATGGGGGGACTTGGGGTTTGGAGGACAGGACCAGGACTCTGGTATTGTTTTAGATACGGCCCGCACCTGTTCGGAACTGGCAGATCTGATAGTTGAGCTCTGCGCTGGGGTGTGTGCCTCAGGTGTAGCCCTGCGTGTGCGTTTGTCTAGCAGGTGGGTAGGGTTTCCTGCTGGCAGCTTTCACCACAGGGAGCTAGTTTCTCCAAGTCAGTTTTCAGCTCTTGGGGAAAGATTAATAAATCCCCCACGCCTGTGCAGGGTTTATGCAAGTTATAAATAATATTAAAAGTACTGTTGTTGTGCCAAGCAGTCATCCCCAGACACTGACGAGCGGGCACGGTGGATTAATGCTAACAATCCTTAACCAAAAAGGGCGAGGTGCACATAAAACTTATAACTACCATATTTCTCCAAGGTTGCACCGTGCCCTTTGCATGGTTGGGAGTTTATGCTGAGAGTTTTATTTCTGGCCAGAATGAGTGGCTTCTGCATAGAAGGAATAAGCTTTTGTTAATGGACACAAGTGCTAGGATTAGAAGTGCATTACTACCCCAGAATTCAGCTCCACAATTTGTGCCTGACATATGCGATGTGTTTGTGATGGGGTGGGGATGGGGGAACCTATTATTCAGGTTTGCTAGCATAAGCCAGTAGTAGTTCAAGCAGACAGAACTACTGGCAGTGTTCTACCTGCTTGAATCCAGAGTTATTGCTGCATACGGTTGGTGGAGAAGTGAGCTCTCCTTCCTCTGGGGACTCCTAAGTGTGGTAGAACAGGCAACAAGTATGAAGATGCATTTTCTAGACGGTGCGGCCTAATCAAAAGTACTATTTTCTTTAAAGGCAGATTGTAATAAACAGGTCACTGAAACAGAACATCAAATGCTGGCTCGTTTGCACAGGTGTCCCTTCTAGGACAACTTTCCAAAGAGCTCGTGCCACCTAGTAGTGAAATAGGGATACAGTTGATTTGCCTCAGTAATCATCGCCAGCTGTTTTAGTCAAAGCTATTAGTCACCCTTAACACAAACAAGTGGGAAAGGGAACTGTTAGACTTCATCAGCGGGCCAGTGGGGAGAAACAGCAATGTGTTAATACAAAGGAGGAAGGCTGGGGATTTAGCTCAGTGGCTTAAGTGCTGGCCTGGTAAGCATGAGGTCCAGAGTTCAATCCCTGTGTACCAAAAATAAAATAAAATAAGAAAAAAAAAAATAAAAAGCAGGAGAGGAAGTTTTTACTGTTTTGAAACAGCTACACTGTACCACTTTTAAAACGTGATGCATTTCTTTGAGCGCAACAGTTTTCTGGGGCACAAGATTGTCTGACCTTGTGTCAGAAGAACAGTACTTAAACTTGCTGTCCGAGAATGTTAGAAGGGTGAAAGAGCACTTAAAGTCATGTAAAGTATCTTTAAATAAGTGAATTACTTACTACAGAAAATCTGCATTCAGAAAGTGGGAAGGAGGTATGAAGGAGGTTATCTTAGTTCCTTAAACTCTTAAGAAGGTTGTTAGCTGACTTTAGAGGATTCTGGCAGTGTTTCTTTGTGCGTGAGCATGCAACCTTAAATTAGGTTCCTCTGAGCACAAAGTAAGGGGCATCGTTTGTTCCTGTCTAAAGAGGTTTTCCAGCACTGCCAGCACATTGGATCAATTAATGGCTTGCCTGTTCTTAATGGAAGCAGTAAGCTGATTTTCCACACAGATCATTCTTAACACATAATGAGAGTAAAAGGTTTGAAAGTTAAAGACTAGAAGAATGTAAAGGAAATTCTAGCAGTTTCCAAAGATGTGTTCCTCTTATAGCTACAAAACTCTACGTTACCTTTTGACATTTTGCCACATTAGAGGTTGCATTGATTGTTGTTAAAGCCTCATTATAAGGAGGTTATGTGACAGCGTGGCACGGTGAACCCTTTGGTTGGCTCTGAAATTCTGACTGAATCTCAGACAGGGCAAGCACTGGTTTAGAGTCAGTGTCTTCCATTTGGTTCCAGAATTTGAAAGCTTGACTTCTTTGTGGCTCTGTGCAGTTCAGATTTCTAAATTCACTGTCCATTTTAGATATTAATCAAATCTTATGTAAGCTTGAGGTGCAGTATGCCATAGAATCTTTATAGCTGGGGGCCTTTAAATTCAGTCTCCCAAAAGTTAAAAGAAAAAAAATAAAAGTTGATGTTAAATCACCTCTCTAGATCTTTTTATTTTTGGAGCCGACAACTTTCAGAGGACAAGATCTGGATGCAGACCATCCTGTGCTATGTATGCATTTCCTACGAGGTGACCCTAAGATACCCAAAATCTTGAAATTCAATAAAATAAAAATTGTTTTTGTTTCTCTTGTTTATAAAACCCTTTCTTTCACTTGTTTCTTTTCCTGTATAATTTTGAGTTCTTCCCATTTTTGCAACTATGATTTCTCATTCAGAATCCCCTGGTTGCTTTAGTTTATAACAAGTTACATTGTTTCCCACGGTATCACAGCTTCCTTGAGATGTAATTTACATTCTCTACAATTCAATCACTTAATAATAAAACTCAGTATTGTTAGTGTATTGGCTGAGTTTTGCATCACCACTAATTCAAGAAAACAAAAACACAACTCTTGTGACTTTTTAGCACCTAACCTCCAGTTCTAGTCCAACACTAATCTACTTGGTTGCATCTCTACATATTTGTGCCTTCTGTTCATTTTATATGAAAGGACTCATATATTAGATAGACTTTTGTGACTGGCTCCTTTGTTTCAAGGGGCCTTTAAGATTATAGTGTTTGTCATTCTTTTTACTGTCAAATATTCCACTGGTGGGGGTACCCCATATTTCATCAATTATGGGTTGGGGGTGTAGCTCAGTGGCAGAGGACTTCCTAGCATGTGTGTGACACCAGGTTCAATCCCCAACACTGCAAAAACAAAATAAACCTCCTCATCAATTGATAGGCACTGAGGCTGCTTCCCCTGTTTGGTTTTTATGAATAATGCTGCTGTGAACATTCTTGTACAGATTTTTGCGTGCTCATTTCTCTTCAGTGTATTCCAAAGAGGAGAATTTCTGGGTTATGTGATAACTCTATGATTTAACAGACAATTGTCAGACAATTTTTCTGGAAGGAACCAAGCCATTTCACATCTCCACCAGAAGTGCATGAAGATTCCAGCTTCTGCACAGCCTCACCCATGCTTATTATTATCAGTCTCTTTTATTTTGCCATGCAAGTGGATGCAAAGTGCTGTCTTCATTGTTTCATTTGTATTTTCCTGAACGGTGATAGTCACTTGCTAACATACTCTTAATCCATTTCCTGCTTTTCCTTTTGCTGTCTTTTCCCCTATGCCAGTATCACATCATCAGTGACTTTCAGTTCATACATGTTTTGTCTTAGGGAAGAGAGAGAGGGATGATGCATGAAGAACATCTACCCAGTGGAAAGACTGGGCCAGAAGTTTGCATATCCTCTCAAAAGAGGTATGTATCTTCAGTGCAAGAGCAACCAGAGGATGTGAGCAGAGCTATCTGGGAATGCAGTCTCCACCAGGTGGGAGACCCAGCACTGAATGTTTGGGTGCAAATAGAGGTAGCGAGACTCCAGTTATCTCCTGGGAACTGTCTCTTGATGCCTGCCTGGAAGCCTCCTTTCAGTGTACTCTAGGAAAGCGATGCCATCAGAAATTTCTGGAGACAGTTGAGGGGAGAGGTTGACTAGGAACACAGCCTCAAGGACCAATCCCTTGGGTTTGTGTTGTGGCTTTGCTGCTTTCTTACTGTGTATCTTCAAGCAAGTTATTCTACCTCTCAGGGCTTGGGTTGCCTTGTTTGTGATGAGGGGATAATATCCAGCTAAGTTTCTTGCTCTATTGGATTAAAAACTGGTGGTCAATTTAAACACCAACTGACCTGAATCAGCATGGTGCTGAGTGTAGATTGCCACCTGATGAAAATTGCCAATGTAAAAAGGAGTCCTAGAGAGGAAGAGTAGCATTGTGGATTCTCCTAAGTGTCATTGTTTGGAGCCACTGGTTCTCCTGGAAGAGCTTTTCATGCAGAGCTTCATGAACTGGGCTGTTACCATTGGAGGAGCTTGGGACCTGTTGCTGTGAATGGCTGTGGTTCACTTGGCTGAGCTTTGGTTCTTACTTTGAGCATTGCTTCCTGTCTCCAGAGTGAAGATGACTGCTGTTCAATCTCCAGGAGAAGTTTGTCACTCTGCTTCCTGATATAAACTCCACTGTTCTCTTTGTTGAAGAGCTTGAGGTCTCGTTGTCACTGAGGATGGCTGAGGTGCTTTTCGGGGGAGCTCTGTTCCTTATTTTGAGTGATGTTTTCTAGCTCCAGTGCAGAACCTTCAATCTGCTGGTACAGATCCTTCACTCTGCAGGCATAGACTTTCTAGTTTCCACCGCTGACCTTTGGGCCTTCCCAGCACAGATCCGTGAAAGACTTGCATGAGTTACTGTCATGGGCTCTAGGCCTCCAGTTGGACTCATGGGGGTCTTTGTCATGGGCTCTTGGTCTTCAGCTGGACTCATGCAGGATATTGCTGTGGGATCCAGGCCCTCTGCTGGCTTCTCTAGGTCTTTAGTGTTGTGGACAGATTTCCTGTACTTCTTTGGTATGTAACTCTTTGGGTGATCATTATAAATAATCATATGTCCTGTATGTTAATATTTCCCTTGCAGTCCCTGACTGGAACACTTGCCCTGTG